CTAAGAAACTTTTAAAAAAAAAAAAAAAAGCAAAAGTTTCTCTTTCTCCACTAGACTCTTCAGATTCTGGTGTCTCCTGAGTTCTCCCCTAGGGACACCCCTTCCCCGTCTCTTTCCACACTGTGCTGGCTCTTTTCTGCAGATCTACGCCTTCCATAGCTGTCTCCCCCACTCCAGCGTCCACCTCTCTTTCCCCAAGCTCCAGGTGTGTAAACCAAGTCAGGGTGAGCGCATTTTCTCCCTTTCTTAAATCACGTTTCCTCCTGCATCCTTCTGCCCAACTCAGAAATCTGGGTGTTTTTGCTGCTTCCCTCACCTGACACTGAGTCCAGCCGCCAGTCCAGCCCCTTGCTGGTCACTGGGGATAGAACAGGGTTCGAACAATCATGCCAGTCCTGTCGTGTGGCTGCTGGCGGGGGACACATATTCTGATACACAATTAGTCCTGGGAAGGTAATAAACTGGGTCCTAATTTTAATGGGAAAGACTTCCCCGGGGAAGGACATTTGAACTGAGATCTGCAGAACGAGGAAGCATTGATCAGCCAAATTGGGGCCGGGGGACAGTCTAGGCAGAGGGAAGAGCTTGTGCAAAGACTCTGTGGTGGGGGGAAAAAAACACATTTAAGAAACATGGGGAGAGGGTAGAGAAGGAGGTGGAGTGGGGGTGGGCGTGAGGTGGGGACAATTCCAGGCCAGGGAAGCTGTGTTAGTCTCCATTTCACCTGATTCAGTTGTAAGCTCTCCCACCCTGAAGTCCTCATTGTTCACACATAGAAAATTAAAATACCTCCTGCCACCTTCAAATCCATCTTGTGCACCACAGTCTTTAGTGATATTTCTAAAGCATAAATCTGATTAAGTTGGCCCCCGGGATCCGTCTTTCCCTGGCTCCCCGTAGGCAGGATACAGCCCTGCCCTACTTCCTCTCGCTCAGTCCCCTTCACAGTGGCTCTGCTGACTTGCCCGCAGGTCCCAAAAAGTGCAGGGCGGATTGCATTGGTGCTGAGCGGTCGCCTTGTCCCTCATCTGCCCTAGGCGTGACTCCACCCACCCCTCACACAGGTCCGTGTGTCGGCCCCTTCCCTTAGCCAAGCTCGAGTCCACGCTGCTGTATTTGGCTTGCCCCTTTCCTTGCTTACTGACTTACACGCTGCCTGTGAGAGGGTGGACGCCGGAGGGCGGTGCGCAGGAGCCACTTATCTCTCTCCTCTTGGGCCACATTGCTGGGTGCATACTAAATGTCCCATCAGTGTTTCTCGAAGACCTGTTGGTGAAGGAATGACAAGGCGTTGGCAGGTGGTGACTCGAAGCTCCACCTGGACAGCTATGTCTATAGGGGCCCGGCAATGGGTCTGGGTTCCAGGATGGCCACGTGCTGTCTGGCTGTTTCTAATAATGGAGCACAGGTCTCGGGACTGCCTTCTACTGCCCCGGCAGCCATTGCTGCCCTCGGATGGCCAGGGTATGTAGGGTGGACAGTCAAGAATAGATTTGATTTTCTAGTATAGTGGCTCTCAATCCAGTGTGTCCATCAGAAATCACCTGGAGGGTTGTTTTTTGTTTTTGTTTTTGTTTTTTTTTTTTCCAAATGCAAGCCATGGGGCCTCACACTCAGAATTGGGATTGAAGAGGTTTGGGATGGAGCCTGACAATCTGCATCTCTAACAAGTTCCCAGGTGAAATTGGTGGTGGTCTGGGGACCACTCTTTGAGAATCTCTATTTTGAAGAATGTGTTTGCTTTAAAAATAATGATTCACTGTGGTGTTAGGGAAGGAGACGCAGCAAGTTCTTTGCTTGGGTTTGGTTCTGGAGGTTTTTAGGACTTTTCCTATGAGACTAACGTGGAGACATGGATCAGCTTGACACACTTAGCACCTCCTCCCCCAGCTCTTGGTTTTGCCCACAAAGTGTTTCTGTGTTTATCAGCACTTGCATGAGTATGTTTCGAAGGTGTGATCTGTCACGACAGTATATACGTGGATGTCAAGATGAAATCTACGTGGAACTGTCCTTTAGCGAGATCTCCAGGGCAGCCGTCACTACATTTCAAGGAGCTCTGAGGTGGGTAGTGAGCTCCCTAGTAGTGGAGTTGTCCTGGGACAGGCTTCTAGAGTAAGCGTGGGAATAAAACAATTTGTCAGGTAGTTAGACTAAATGCTTGTAAAGATCCTGAAAATTCTGTGATTTAAGAAAACAGTAGTAGTTGACAAAAGGGATATATGGAGTTTTGTGCAGTGTATGGAGAGCTGAGGCCTCCTTTTGGAAATAGGATATTATCATCCTATTTTGAATAAACATTTATTCCTCACCAATGACATGCTTGGTGACAAGATGGATTTATATCCTGTGACCCCAAAGCTGCTGTTTATTGACCTCAGGCCATTTAAAAGGCTAAATAGAAAAAGCTGCGGGCCAGCCCAGAATGTGTGTGCCACAGGGCCTCTGAGTCAAAGGGAATTGAGATGTATAGTGCTATTTTATTTTTCTGCAATATTTACGAACGCGTGCTCAGGAGAGAAAAATGAGAGACTACCACTGGTAGGACTTGAATTTATAGTTATTCACTAGATTGGGTTTTAGACTACCACCTTATAAAGAATGTCTAGCCAGTTGGCAGGTCCCATACTCTGAGGTAGGGGTCAAAGTCTCTCTTGTAGGAGACTCTGGAACTTATGAAGTAGCAGACCAAGCGGAAGCTCTGTCCCTCCTCTACCACTTAATGAGCATCTATTATGTGCTGGGTGCCGAGTGAGATACTTTACAAATGTTATTTATAATTCTTCCAAGTAAGTAGTAATCTCATGATTTTCCGATAAAAGGCAGAGAGAATATTTGTCTTGTTTAATTGTATCCAGCAAAAGTCCTCGATTTATGTTTGGAAGTTAACATAACCATAAAATTGAAATGTGATGAAAGTCTAAAACTTATGGACCCATCTCAGGTCTGAGTATAGATGCAAAATGTAGTATTAGCAAATAGCATGAGGCAGGGCATCAAGTGGGCAGTACTCTGCCCACAGGGAATACATTCTAGAAGGAGGATGCAGTCACAGGAATCATTAGGAAATCACCGTAACTCACTGTATCAATAAACTAAAGGAGTCATCTATCAGCAGATGCTGACAGGGTGGCCAATAAAATTCTCCTATACTAAAACTCTAAAAGGATTAAAAAACACTAGTTAAATTTCATGAAGAGTAAAAATTAGCCACGGAGACTCTAAAAAAGTAAAACAATCCTATACCATTAAAATAGGAAATGCTTGTTTTTGCTATTTTTAAATAATGCCTTAGGGACTCTTATTATACAGGTTAAGAAGATAAAACAGTTGGCATAAAGCTGAGAAAGAAGAAATGAGGTGATCTAGTTTTGCCAGTAGCTGCATAGTAGGTCCTTTGTCCTGGTTTTACTTCCTGAGGTTTTGGTTACCTGTGGACAACAGTGGTCTGAAGACATGATGTATAATGAGATAATGTGAGAGGAAGAGAGAACGGACCGCATCTATGGGCCATTTATTCCAGTATATTGTAATCCTCCCATCTTATTATTAGCTGTTGGTGTTAGTCTGTTACTGTGCCTAACTCACAATTAAACTTTATCATACTCTGAGATTATAGGGAGAAATACAGTACCTGTAGGGTTCAGTGCTGTACTCAATTTCAGGGGTCCTCTGGGGGTGCTGGAACCTCTCCTGTGGATAAGGGGGAACTACCATAATAACCTAAAAACCCATAAAAGGATCTACAAAGGAAAGAAACCTGCTAGAAATAATAAAGGAATTAGATAAGATGGCGCAAACACTCTTTTCTATATTATTGGGGTCTCAAAGCCAGTCAACTTGGGCACCTGGACGTGGGATTGGGATCCAGGTGTGAGGGTGAAGTCTGGGCTCCTTCCACCTTGTGGTGGGTGTACGCTCACGGCTGTAACCGTCATGTGGAGGGAGGGTCTCCTAGGCCCGTACCGTGGGTGTGCTGGCACATCAGGTGGGGTTTGGTGTGCCAGGAAGAGGGGCCACAATGAGGCAGTTAGCACAGGAGTTTTACAAAGACCTGCTAGGGCTTTGTGTGTGTGTGTGTGTGGCGGGGGAAGGTGAAGGTGTAGGGTAAGGGGATGGTCTGGTCAGACTTCGCATGCACATTCTGAGCAGCCAACCATTGGAATGACCCCTTCCTTCAGAAGTGATATTTCTGTGGCTTGTTGCCCTGTCTCACACTGTCCATTGGAGATATTTGAAGAGATTCTACATATCAGAGGCTGCCTGGGGGCCATGGGTATAAGCTTTTGGTTGCCACATCTCCCAAGGATGACTTAACTTCAGGGATTCGTGCTAGAAGTGGATTTTTTCTGACACAGAAACTACTGGGGTAATGTGTCAAAACTACTATGCAGAGGAAGATTTTGTCCTTCAAAAAGTCAGTCAGTCAGAGGGTGGAGGAAGGAGCCCTGTGTGGGAATCTGGGTTCCAGAGGTTCTGCCACAACTAGCTGTGTGACCCCAGGCAACTCACTTGGTCTTGCTGGGCTCATTTGACTCATCTGCACGTTGGTGTACTGTATTAGTCTCCCAGTGCCCTCTGGCTTCAAAGTTATAATAATCATCACCTCTGTCTTGTTCCTGACCCTGTTCTAAGTGCTTTGCACAGAGGTTAACCATCATAACTATCTCATGAGGTAAGTACTGTTCCCATTTTCCCTCTGAAGAAACTGAGGCACGGAGGGTATGTGACTTGCCCAGGGTCTCACACCTGGAAAATGATGGAGCGTTAATGCAGTGCAACCTCACTTTTGTTCTGCTTTTTCTCTCTTTGGACTCATGTTGTTATGATGGTGTTGGTTCTGTCTGGGGCCATGGGGTGTTGAGGCTGGGAAACACTTTTTTATGGGAAATGAAGTTCTGGGGTGGCTGGATGGGCGTGGCCGCCTTGGAGAATGATGGCAGTGGCTGCGAAGTTGCTGACATTGTGGTTCCCTTTCCTTTTTTTCCTTTCCTCTCTAGTCTGCGGTAAGCGCTACAAGAACCGGCCAGGACTCAGCTACCACTATGCTCACACTCACCTGGCCAGCGAGGAGGGGGATGAAGCTCAAGACCAGGAGACCCGGTCCCCACCCAACCACAGAAACGAGAACCACAGACGTGAGTTGCAGTTGTTGGATGGAACAGGGGACCGCGGGTGGGCGGGGAAGGAGGGCTGCCTTTCCACACCTCTGCGTCTCTTGGTGGCACCTGTTGTTTGGTTTCAATTCCTTTGGTGAGTTGGCTCTTTCCTCCCATCCCAGCTGCTTCTGGGGTTCAGCCAAGCCCCAGGCTGGGCAGGGGTGGTGCACCCAGTCTACTCCAGAGAAAGGAAGGTAAGGGTTAAGGCAGCAGGGACATGTCTTTCCCTGACCATTATCAAGATGACAGACCTGCTGCCCTTTGTCTCCAGCTCCGGAAGATCCATTTGCAGCTTCTACCTGGAACTGGGCATATCCCTATGGCTGTCGATTCAGAAACAAGCCAGTGTCTTCTTGGCCACCACAAGACTGGAATATTCTGGACCTATTCTGTAGGCTTTGTTAGGGGTTATCATTTTAGTGTAGGACTCTGGCCTCCTGGCCCTTCAGTTAAGCCCTCAGCTGGCATACATGTCCAAGTGGCTCGTCGGTGGTATGCTTGGATCTGAAGACTCAAAATCATCCTGAAGATCTCTTTGCACATTTATCCCTTCTTTCCTTCTTCAGTTTATGAATTAGGGACTCAAGAAGGACAGCGTTTACCACTTGACTTTCTTCTAGAACATTCTTTTGGTTCCTGAGCCTGTAAGACAATAGAGTGGGATGAGGAAATGGAACCATCAGGGCTTGCTTCAAGATGTGGACCAGTCTGAGATCATTAGCTGAGGAAGAACTGTGGTCATGCCATTTGTTTTTGAGGTGACTGGTGTATTCAGTCAGTCAGCCGAACTAACTGATGTCGATTGGCTGCCTTCACTAAATATTTGACATAGCACACCTTGAACAGGCCTTTCTTTGCATCCATGGTTTCCCCCAACCCTACCTCACTTTCCCCTGGTAACACTACCTTCAGTATTAGTTTTCTAGAGCTGCCATATCAACATCCCACGGATGGGAGGGGCCTAAAGAATGGGCATTTATTTCCTCCTGGTTTAGGGCCCATCCTAGTCTCATTTTAACATACCTCTTTAATCACCACTTTATTTTTATTTTTATTTTTAACCTTATTTTTATTTTTATATACATGAATGCATATATATGTGCCTCCAGGCTGCATATAGGGATTGGACAGACATACGAACATCACAGCATATGGGAAGCTTATTAAGGAAGAATCAAAAAGACACTGGCATAGCCCAGGCAGTAGTCAAGAGCTGCTGCTTTAAAAAAAATTGTTTTAAATAAAGTACATTGTTCCACATCCATGTTAATGTTTGCCAGTATAGGATTTCTCCCTCGGGTGTAGTCACTGTAGCTCTCCCACCAGCAGAGCACCCATAGCCCATAGTCCTCCACCACTGTCCATTGTGGTCTCCCTCCTCCCATTCTGATGCCTATGGTCAGCTTTCAAAGGTTGGTTTTAAAGTTTGTCTTTTTCTGATCTTTTCCTTGGTTTCTCTATATTCTACACAATAAATGACACCATCCAATATTTATCTTTCTCTACCAGGTTTATTTTGCTTAGCATTATCCTTTCTAGCTCCAGCCGTCTTGCCACAAATGGCATGAGTTTATCTTTTTAACAACTAAATAGTAATCCCCCAACACGCATGTGTACATGCACACACACACACACACATGCGCACGCACATCCCTTCCTGATCTACACATCTGTTTGGGGGCACTTAGGTGGTTTCCGTAGCAGCACCCATAGTACTGCAGTGAGTATAGGAATGTGCATTTCTTTTCAAATTAGAGTTTTTGTGTTTTTACCTAGAGGTGGAATACCTGGGCTATGTAGATCCACCATATGCTTCCCATAGTCTACAGTCTACATTCTCACCACAGTGAGAATGGGCCCTTCTCACTTGTTAATCTCTTTAAAGAGCCTGTCTCCAAATATTGTCACAGTTACTGGGAGTTGGTACTTAAACATAGGAGTTTTGGGGAGACAGTTTGGCCCACATTACCTGCTTTAAATATTACTTTCAGGATTCAAGCCTTTTGTGTGACACCCTTGATTTCATACCTACTATTGACATCTGGATGGAACCTGAAAAACGGGAGGCGGGGGGATGGTCTGAAGAACTGGGCCTGTCTCCCCTTGCCAGCTTGAGTAGCTACAAAGCTGAGGTCTCTGTCTGCTCCTGGGGACAGCTTTCCTTGGTCCAGTCACCCATGTCCTTCAGAAAGGAAAGCGTATTGACCTGTGCTGAGCAGCTGGTATTTCCATTTCCCCATCTCTCCTCTTATCCCTTCTCTGATCTAAGTGGCCAAGGCATAGCTATTATCTCCTACCACGATGTGGCCGAGAATGGTCTCCTTTGATTTAGGTTGCTATCTGGAAAGTATTATTAGCGATGATTACTCTCTCTAAAGTATTTATTAGCTTGGTATTATTTCCCATCCCTCCAGTGCTGGCTTATCTCCTTTACATCTCTTCACAAATGTCAGGCCATCTTGTTCTTGCATAGGCGCTTCACTCATGCTATAGGGTTTGGAGTGCTCCTCTCTTTCCCTGTCTCCTTTTTGTGTACATGGTGATGATGGCAGAGGAAGCTTCCTTGTGGTCCCCAGATCTTAGGTTGTTGGAAAAGTCATGACATATTTTTTCTATGTTTTTCAAGCAAAAGTGGGTCATGTCTTTTCCCACATCCCGATATGTTGAAGACCCTAACTGCAACAGGGCCGTCTTCTCCTCAGCTGTTCCTTGTGATCCCCCCTTGGTGGGCTGTGGATTACCAAGGTGGCCACCAGCGTACTTGTCTCTGTTCACTGGGACCTTCTCACATACCCATGGGTTGGTATCTTCTGCCTGCTCACCTGGAGGCCAGAAGGCCTAGCTTGGAAAGGAATCTGTGTTTCCTTATCCTAAATGGAGACATGTCCTTAAAAAATCTCATCCAGCTACCTGTTCCCCTCCTGTGTTCATCAGTGAGCACACTTTCTGCAGCCCCTTTTCTGCCCTCTTCTCATCCTGCTGATGATAAATCAGATTCTTCAGAAAGGAATCATCTGACCGCTCAAGGCTTTCAAATCACCAAGAAGAGACTGGCTGTCCCTGAGCACCTCTGAGCCTTCATCACCTGAGGAAGATTCCAGAATGCTCACAAACACCCTTTGAATCTCATAACTGTATAAGAATTCTCCAGTTAACCTAATTTTCTAGTGGGGAAGGTGGGAAGAAAGACTCTTAGTATTCACAGAAGCCACCATTTCTGCCCTCCCAGTTTTTCTAGACAAATGCAAGAGACAGCTGCTCTTTCCAGGCTCTCTGCTCCACAAACACTCCCAATTTGTTTGCTGCTCCGAATGTGTGCTCTTTTCCCTCCCACATTCCCCTGGCGAGCAGCCCCTTAACCATTTCTCGCGAGTGCTAATTGCCAGCATCATTAATACTTAGTCATTAGCTGCTCCCACTGTTTGGGGTGGGGTGGACTCCCATCCATCCTGCCCCTAAATGCCACTGGGACTGAGTGGTGAACTGGAGTGACAGCTCTGAGCCTCCTGAGGTCTCAGCTTGGAGAGCCTCCCTAGGTATGGCTTTTGGAGGAGAGCTTAACTCTGCAGGCTAAACTGTAGCTCCCCCATGTCCATCCTCCCCCCCCCCCCCGCAAATGGTCTGGAGTTATTTGAAATGCTGACTTTTCCCTCTTTGACAGAGCTACATGGGGACCCAGGCTGCCTGAGAGCACAGGCTTAAAGGAAAACAGTCCTACAGATTCAGGAGTTTTCAGGCCCCAAGCAGATGGGTTCACCCCACCTGGGGTAGCAGAGACCTTTTGACTTTGGTTCTCCTGCTGTCTCTTGCAGCCTCCCCTCCAGCTGTGTCTGCAGCAAAACCCATTGCTCATCCCTGTGCACCGCTGCTGAAAGGGCAAAGTGGAGCCCTGGAGCCAGCCCTGGAGCTGGGTTGACCTCCCTGTCCCCAGCCCCCAGCCCCAAGCTGCCAGCTCAGCACTTGACCGCATTCCTCCGGTCCTCCCGTCCTCCGGTCCTCCCCCTCCCGTCCTCCTGGCCACCTGCCCCTCCCTGCCGACTGCTCTCACCTTTATTCTTCTCCCAGTTTCTCATTTTTCTCCTTAGTTATCTTTTTGTCCTGCTGTAGGTTCTCCTTCTTCCTTTGTTCCCTTGACTCCCTGTGCCAGAGAGGCTGGGGGCAAAGTCTCCCCCTTGGGAGACAGTGCTTTTCTGATGGGGTCTTCCCCATCTGAGCTACTGCCCTTTCCCGGCCTGAGTGAGGCTGGGTTCTTCTTCTTTCTTCCATGTCCTTACCACCTTCTGTTCATACAAATGAAGTGAAATCGCTGTGTGTGTGTGAATACAAGAGAAGTGGGCTTGGGCAGTCAGGACTTGAGAAGTACCATTCTGCTGTAACCCCTAAAATGCCACCTTGGCAACCAGCCTAGAGGGCCCAGGGGAATAGAAAACACTGGATTAGCAAAAGTCCTTTGACACAGGTTCACAATGTCAAGACGTTTCTTGAATTTCTTTTTACCTTCTTGGCACAGAGGAAATCTATTATAGATGTTCTCAAGGTCCTTTTTTGGAGGGGGTGGGGTGGGTGGGTGGGTGTAAGGCCTTTATGGAATCCTGGACCTGAATGGAAAAGCTATATAAATGCATTTACTCCTGCCTGTCCATCTGGCCATCCCTCCCTTCCTCCACCGAGTGAGCATTTATTGAACACTGCCTTGGCCCCTGTCTTTGAGGAACTCAGTCTAAAGTGGGAGTGTCAAATAAGAGCAGGTACAAAAGTTGAAGGAGTGAAAGACCCAGCACTGCACCCACTTTCTAGGATGGTGATATTCGAAGGGTGCTTCTGTGCCAACCTGGGAGCTCCTTGGAAAGGTATGTTGTTGCTTCCAGCAGAGCCTGAAACAGAAGCCCCGAGGGCGGGGATCAGCAGCTGTGGTTTTAACTGTCCTTTAGGATATTCTGATGCACAAGAAAGCCCGAGAACACCACAGGAGGGGATTT